CCGAGACAGCAGCTGGCAGCTGCATGGGAAGCCCGCCTCATTCACCTGCCTGGGCCTGCAGGGCCTAACGCTCCTGTGCCTGTTCCCCTCCCTCCACCAGGCAGCAGTTGGAAACTGAGAAGAAGAGGAGGGAGACGGTTGAGCGGGAGAAGGAGCAGATGCTGCGGGAGAAGGAGGAGCTGATGCTGCGCCTGCAGGACTATGAGCAGAAGACCAGGAGGGCTGAGAAAGGTCAGCTGGCATCCTGACTGCCCAGGCTGGCTGTCCCCTCAGAGGCAGGCAGGGTCCCCGCACACAGCTGGGGGAGCCTTCCAGAGTGTCTCAGTTTAACATGGTATCCCAAAACAGCCTGATCAGAGAAATGACCCACTTGGTTCCCTCCTGTGCTGGTCATTTTAATTTTCCCAAAGTCCCTCGAGATGAGGACGCTGTCAGCCCACGGTGGCAGCCTGGGCGTGGCAGAGCCATGCTGCACTGCTCCCAGCCTCTTGACTCCACCAAGGCCACCTGTGAAGGCCAGAGCCCTCAACACAGCCCCGGTGGCTCAGAACACAGCTTGGCTGTGATAGTCCCCCATGCTCCTGACCAGCCCTGCCCCGGAGGGCTCTTGGTGTGGCAGGGAGATGGCTGTGTTCGCTGGCAGCCTGGAAAGACTGGCGGGGAATTGGCTGTTTTAGCGAGTGCCAAGGCGGTGAGACTGAGGATCGTGGTGCCGCAGGGCGCAAGGGTCGGACCCACCGGGCCGGTGTCTGACCTCTCGGCAGTGGTTTCTAACTCTCTGAGGAAGTTGTGTGGAAACATGATGGAGTGAGCCTGAGACCTCCCAGGGGACAGCTGGCCACCTGTGACTCACCCCGGGCCCGTGGTCCTGGGAACGGCTTCCACCCAGATCTCCCTCCACCCACCCTGGGTGGGAATGGAGAGTAGGACTCTGGTCCCTGGCTGGGGTTGGAACGGCTCTGGCTTCGTATTCCCTGCAGAACTCAACGACCAGATCCAGAGAGCCCTCCAGCTGGAGGACGAAAGGAAGCGAGCCCAGGAGGAGGCTGAGCGACTGGAGGCCGACCGCGTGGCTGCGCTCAGGGCCAAGGAGGAGCTGGAGAGACAGGCGGCCGATCAGATAAAGAGCCAGGAGCAGCTGGTAGGGACGGCCTGGGTTTCAAGATGCTGAATTATAGAGGGGCTGCTTCTGGGGATCGCAAAAGCGACACCTGCCTTGTAACGACTCTTCTCTGGGCCGTAATGGGATCTACCGGAGGCGTGTAGCAGCCACCGGGAGGGGGCTAGGGTCTTGCTGTCATCTGTGCCCAGTCAGGGAAGTGGACATTGGGTGTCTGGAGTCCCACACAGACACAGGTCAGCTCAGATGAGCCCTGCTGACCCCGGGGAGCGGGAGGGATGCAGTGTGTCACCGCAGAGGCCTTTCACCAACACATGTAAATGTCGGCAAGTGGACGCTCGGGGGATTTCAGAAGCTGCTTGGCTCCGCCTTCCCTTCCAGGCTGCAGAGCTCGCCGAGTACACTGCCAAGATCGCCCTCCTGGAGGAGGCGCGGAGGCGCAAGGAGGACGAGGTTGAGGAGTGGCAGCACCGGGTGAGTCCTGCCTGTTGTGGCCCGCAGCGGGTTAGGAGAGTCCAGTTTGACCCCCGGGTCGCATTGGAAGCTCTTGGGACATTTTGCATCCTTGGCCAGCACCTGCTGTGCTGCTGAAGCAGAGATCCACAGGAGCGGGCTCGGCCTGTACACCAGCGTGTGCAGCTGCTGGTCCACTAGTCCACCCGCTGGTCCACTCCTCCTCTGCCCCGCCTCTGAGCTGCTCACCATGATCAGACGCCCCTGATCAGGAACTAGTTTTAAATCCAATTATTTGGGCCCCTGTGACAGAAATAAAACCTCCTGGAATTTATTGGAGGGTTTGTGAAAAGGACCTCAGAGGTCTCCAAACCAGAGCAGGAGCCCAGGCTCAGCGGCGTGGCCACCTGGCCAGGAAGCGGGGATGGCCTCCCCTCTGAGCCTCACTATGGACCCACCTGTGAGCTCTCACTGTGGACCTTGCACAGGTTTGATGAGCTCTAATTGCAATCATGAGACCTTGCAGAGCCTGCCCTCCACCTGTGGTCCTCTGTGCCCTCCAGGACAGCACAGGGTCTAGGTGTGGTTCATGTCATGGACATCCCACCAAGCTTTGGGAGGCCCCCTCCCCTTCATCCTCCCACCTGTTTGTCTCTAGGACCGCCCTCCTGGGTCACTTGTAACTAGTGCCTCCCTGGCTGCCCCAAGTGTTTTCCACCTGCTACACACAGAAGACTTGTTAGGTTTTGGGAGAAGGTGGCCATTATAAAGTATTAAGTGAGAAAAGCTGGTGACAGAACAGGGCAGACTGAGCTCACCCCCAGGAATCACTTGGAGGCAGGGCTGGGCATGTGTGTCCTGTGAAGATGTTGGGTGGATTCCAGGTGATGGTAGGAAGGTGTTAATAAATGTAGCCCACAAGGAGAGCAATAGTAATTCACACCAGAGTGTTGTGTGTGCTTCTCTCTGGGATGTGGAAGACTTGTTGTTTCCGAATATATATATATACAGTAGGTGTATAATAGGGTCATATAGAAAACAAGGAAGGGTTCTTTAAGAAATGTCCAGCTGAGGCTGGGGCTGGGGCTCAGCAGGAGAGCACTTGCCTGGCACATGTGAGGTCCTGGGTTTGATCCTCAGCACCACATAAAATAAGCGAACAAAATAAAGGTATTGTGTCCAACTACCACTGACAAATATTTTTAAAAAAGAAAGAAACACCCAGCCTCTGGCACGTGGTGTCGTCTGTGCTGTGGAAGTGATGACGACAGGGAGAGCAGCCCACTTGTGCGGAGCCGTGCTGGGGCTGTACTGTTTTAGCTCCCAGGAGGGGGGTCGGAATTCTTGTGCTCCCCGCAAGGAGACCACACCTGCTTCTTAAAGTAGTGCCCGCACAGGGACCTGGGGGAGAAGCTCCCACCTATTTATTTGCTTTCCAAAGGCCAAAGAAGCCCAGGACGACCTGGTGAAGACCAAGGAAGAGCTGCACCTGGTGATGACCGCGCCACCGCCCCCACCACCCCCGGTGTACGAGCCCGTGAGCTACCACGTGCAGGAGAGCCCGCTGGAGGAGGGTGCGGAGCCCATGGGCTACAGCGCCGAGCTCTGCAGCGAGGGCATCCTAGATGACCGCAATGAGGAGAAGCGGATCACTGAGGCCGAGAAGAACGAGCGCGTGCAGCGGCAGCTGCTGGTGAGCAGGGGCGGGGCCTGCTTTGCTTTCACCTGGGCAGGTGGCTTTTAAACCGGGCCACCCAAGGGGTCATCTCCACCCGGCCACCTCTCCACCTTTCCCAGGGGAGGGGTCTGCATTCCCAGCCACTGGTGTCACAGGGAGGGCAGGTGCTGACTGCTGCCGCTTCACGTTGCAGACTCTGAGCAACGAGTTGTCCCAGGCCCGAGATGAGAACAAGAGGACCCACAACGACATCATCCACAACGAGAACATGCGGCAGGGCCGGGACAAGTACAAGACCCTGCGGCAGATCCGGCAGGGCAACACGAAGCAGCGGATCGACGAGTTCGAGGCCATGTAAAGGCTGGGCCTGAGGGTCCCGGGCAGACATGTCACACTTGGCTCTTTAGTACTCCAAATCTAGAAGCCCCTCAGCATGTTCCAGGCCCCTTATAAAAAGAGCGGTTACCCAGCAGAAGCCCTCTGGGTCAGGAACCAGCAGAAGCCTCTCTGGTTTGTTCTTCCCAATTGTATGCTAGTGCCAAACAGGCCTGATTTTTATGAGAATTATTGAATCACTTCCTGTCTTATGCTTGAAGCAGGACTGATGGAATTAAGGAAAGATTCCTGTAAAGTCTGAGTGACAAACTTCATGCTGGCCTGTGTGATCCAAGGTGCAGTATCATTAAAGAAAACCACACCGTGGCTTACATCTGTGCCATACTTTCTCTGTTTTTGAAATGAACTCAAAATTGATTTGTTCTTGATTTCTGTGAAGGGTCCATCTCTGTATATTTGTGTTGATGGGTAACAATTACTTTGAAAATTGAGTCTAAAGCACTCTCCACACAGTGATTTCCTTTCTCCAGACATTCAGTTCTGCTGGCAAAAATCTGCAGTGGTCATTCAGAATGAACGGTACAGGAGGACTCTCCGATAAAGTTTGTGTTTTTTTTTTTTTTTTTTTTTTTGCTTAACAGTTAGAATACACTGTTGGACTTCTATTCTTGATTAATGATCAGCTATAGAATATAGTATTTATATATGTGATAATATGGGTTTGTAACATTAGTTTTAAAAAGGGAAAGTTTTGTTCTGTATATTTTGTTACCTTTTACAGAATAAAATAATTACATATCAAAAAGACCATGTAACCACGGCCCTGGAACTGATGTGGCGTGAGGGAGTAATGAGACTGATTACCTGCTGTAATTGCAGTGTAAAAATGTCTTATGGAGTTCTTTGTGCACGTAACTGCACACTAAGGTTTTCTAAGATTGTTCAGACTCCAGCCATGAAGGGACTCTGTCATCATGAGAACCTCTTTCTGATCAATTTCTATTCTCTGCCATGTCCTCAAACCTATCGACACAGTGGCTTTCACGAACTGTTGGCTGGGCTCACTCCCGGCCCTTCTTTGCGGGTTGTCCTTTTTGGTTGTCTCATGCCAACAAATTCCACCCTGCAGACACAAAATAAAAGTTGTCCGAGGCGTGTGCACAGTGTGGTCTGCTCGTGCGTGGGTGGGGGAGCTCCAGGGACTCGCCTGGTCCACACCATCCAGTAGCTGGGCCGTGTGGGAGCCCCAAGCCCTGCGGCCCCTCAGAAGTTGGACGGGGCAGGCCCTGTGGCTGGCTGACCTGCTCTGCCACAGGAGGGGAGGGAGCGTCGGGTACTCACCAGCCTCGTTTTCCCTCTGAAATGTGCGGAAAAGCTGTGATTTTTTTTCACTATTTGCCAAGCTCGGAGAGACAGGGTAACTGCCAAACATTTATTGAAATATGGCCGCTTTCCACCTCTCAGAGAACAGCTAGGAACCCATCTGAGACTTAGGTAACATGGATAACTGCTCTGTTAAGTACACAAGACAGTGAGGGACATAACAGAACCACCAGGAGAGTCTGCACAGTCCAGAGGGCCCGTCCATCCATGGTCAGCCCGTGGCTTCTGTAGGCTCCAGGCTTTGGCACATCCAGCATAGCCTGGAGCTCTGAGGCCTTCACTTCAGTGCAGGATGAGCGTCATGTCCGTCCATAAGTTGGGGCTGGAGAGAACCTTCTGCCATTGCAGCCTTGATTGTGCACATGAGTCTGCACCAGCTGTATCCCCCTCTGACATGAGACAGACACGTTATTAATGGTTGATGAGCACGCCATTCATCCTTCTCAGCTTTTTAAAAACAAGGCCCATCAAGAAAAGTGGGTTTTTGGCATCAACTGGAGACTATGAAAATGCCAACCACTGCTGGGTTTGAGACTCCCCCAACGACATGTGAGTGCAGGATGTGCTGCAGCCTTGGAGCAGAGGCCCTGACCTCCAGTTCCTTTCCGGGGTCTTAGGGGAGGACGGTTCTGGTTTGGTGGCTGATTCTTCACTGTGAGGAATCAATATCCTGATATGGGGACTGTGTATGGCAGGGGCTGGATCTGTTGACGGAAGGGGTTCCCTAGAGGAGAGCTGTGCTTTGGACAGCGTCCCTTAGAAAACTCATTCTAACTTATCTGTAGTTCTCAGCTGGATGTTTAGAGCTGTGTGCAGGCGTTTGGGGTTGCCACTGTGTGGAGGGCGCTGCTGGCAACCTGCAGGTGGGGTGGGGCCCAGAATCCTCCCAGACAAGGGCTGCCCACAAGCACAGTGCCAGCAGCTCCCCTGTGAGCAAGACTGAATAGTGTCCCTGTTTGTCTCACTCTCAATGAAGCACTTTCTGAATTGCCATTTGTTTGGGTTAAGATGTTTTCCTTTAAGAAAATAATCCTCTTATGATTGACAATAGAAACAAAAGCAAATACTGTGCCTGGCCTGTTTTGAGGCCCATAACTTAGTTTCTTTAGCAGATCTAAATCTGATTTAAATTGTCAAAATACTTGGCTGTATTATCACTCCGTGGTAGAGTTAGGCCTAGACTTAGGAATTTCTATTTTTGGCAGGTAGGCAGTGCAACCTACAGCCAGTTAAATCGCTGCCATTGTGTAAGTATTTTCTCTCTTCGTGGTACCCACGTAGGACACTCGCTAAGGACATAACAAAGCACTGGGAGACAGTCTGGGTCCATGGGGAATCAGGCAGACTTACTTGAACCAAGCCTGGCTCTCCCCAGCAAGCGTTCGCTCATTCCAAAGATGGCCTGGTCCCAGACAGTCAGTTCCAGAATCGACTGCCTCAGCTGAGACCTGCTGACGCCATTAAACACGAAGGAGTGTTTCCACTGGGGGTGAGCTTGCTTCTGCAGCACCGGGGACCTCAGTCGCAGCTTTTGTTGGTCTGGCAGAGTGAGACAGCTAAGGAGAGAAACAAGATGCTGCGATCGGGACGCTGGGGCCTCACGGCAGCCTACACCACATGCGCTGCTTCCAGCCTGAGCACTGACCCAGTGAGCGTGGGAATCACAGGACCTGGCCGCACGACCTCACTAGGATTTTCCAAGTTTCTTTTTCAGCTGGATTCCGTGTCAGGTATTAAGGGTAAATTGGAATTCTGAGGCCACATGGCCCTCACCGTAATCTCCTTACAGCCCTTCGAAGGCATGGCTTATTAGAAGTGCCACCCAGGGACCATGGCTCTGTTTACATGTGACTCATTGTATACTGTTGTCAGCAAAACACATTCAGAAAGGCTACCTAACTTGCCCAAGGACATGCACGGAAGTAATAAGATCAGGACCCAGGCCCGGTTCTGTCTGGACAAGGAGGCCTTCATGTTTCCACCCTGTCTGTGACTGGGGATTTAGCATTTCAATATAACATTCAGTGGTGTTTGCTTTTAGAGGCACCAGCGCACCTGCAGTGACTAAGTGAAGTGTGGAAAGTCACCCAAGCGACAGGTAATCCAAGAGGCGGTGTTAAACCAAGGAAGTACCTGCTGAACACACTTCTTTCTTCTCATACTTGATTTCAATCGAAACTGATTTTCTGATATAACAAGAACTGACAAGATTTGGGTTTCAGGTCGAAATGTACTATCCCAAATAGGTCTCAGCTTGCCCACATCCCCTGGATTTGTGAAAATCCGGGCCCTTCGTGTTTGCTATAGGAAAGTTAAAGTAAGAAGACTTTAAAATGGCTTACATCTCTGATGTTTCCTCCAGGTTCTAGGAACATACTGTTCGTATTCTAGATAACCAGTAAACAGTATTTGGTTTCATCGAATACCTACCCTTTAACAAACGAGTTTAAGGTACCATCCGATCGCACAGGTAAGTTCTTGGCGCCCAGCACTACCAAACAGAGTTGACCATTAAGTGATGGCTGATCTGTCCCTGGAAGAAAGCCAGTTCCCACTGTCAAACCCACTTCTCCAGAGGCATCACAGTCCTACCACCCCCAAACTGAGCTCAGTAAGAGGAGTGTTACAGACTCCAGGCCGGAAAGAGCAGGCAGGAAGAGGCACATTTCCCCCAGAAGGCTCTGCTAGCCCTGGCCACATGCTGAGTGGTCCGCACAGGGACAGGACTGCTAAACCCCAGCGAGGCAAAGCTCTGAGAGTACACTGGCTTCTGGGGAGAGAGGTGGAGGTTTTAGTCTGGCTGTTGCCAGTAGGTTTGGGGAAACTGGGAGCCCCAAACCCATTTCAGGGACTTAGAGGTGACCATAGGGTGCCTGCCACTGGTCTTCTGGTGGCCTCATGAGCTCAGAGGCTCTTCTTCCCACCAAACAGTCACTACTCAATGGAAATATGTCTACTTTGCCCACCCTCAGGGCCTCACAAGTTCAACCTCCTAAAGGCCTGCAGGGCCTGTCCTTGATCCACCTCACTCACGGGCAGCAGTCGCCCCTCTGAGACCTGCAGGTACCAGCACCTGACAATTGCTCTTGGCTCCTAAAGTCAAAACTCCTAACTCATGACTCATGTTGTCAGGTGTACCCTCTTCGAGAGGGGACATGGTTTCACCAGACCCTGTCCAGTCTACCCATTGGGAGGGATGCCTTGGGGACAGTGAAAGTGGACACTGAAGGCCTTGCCTGCTTTGGTCACCCACGTCTCCCGCAGGCCACAGGTTCCAGGGTGCTTCTGCCTCTCAGTCTCTGGGACATGTGGGTGTCACTGTGCAGTGGGTAGGAAATGCTAGAAAGCCTTTTACCCACCTCTCAGCATGACGCCTTCCAGGCTTTGGGGACAGTGACAGAGGAGTGCTCAAGGGGCTGGCCACCTACCTTCTAGAGCTTCCTGGGACTTTCTGGGCCCTACAGGGAGAACCAGTTTGGCCCGAACAGCAAGTTCTCCATTATTCTGAGGAATGCTGTCTTCATATTTCTCGTTCTGGGGGTGCAAAGGCAGAGCTTGAGACAATTTCTCCCAGAACCTTCCTCCCTCCTCTGGCTGCCTCAGCTCTGACTCTAGATGTCACCCACCACCTCTGCAAAGCCTCTCCAGCCCAGGAGAGCCCAGGGATGGATTGGGCACCCCCCATCAGCAGGGACTTGTCCTGCCACCCCCTCCTCTCCCAGGCTGGGGAGAACAACTCTGCCTCCCCAGAAAAACCAGAGGCAGATGTGCCTGAGAAAACAGGCCCATGGGAACAACAGGACAGTCGTAATAAAACCTGAATTTGAAAAAAGTAAATAAATAGCATCCCTCCCCAGCAAGTCCACCCGGGGCAGTGAGGTTCCAGGCCACCTTTCCATGCCTAGGTCAGCTGCAGGCACTGTAGACAGAGGAGCCCTGAGCAGACTCGGCCCAATGCCACAGGGTGGCTCTCCAGGCTGTGGGTGCCACATTGTCCTGACCTTGCCGAGGACAATACCCTGCCTACAGAGATGGCTTCTCTGGTCACAAGTAATTTCTCCAGAGTGAGACAAGTGCCCAGAGAAGAGGTGGTCCTGAAATCTTTCACCCGGGGGCCGGAGAACTGTCCTGGGAGGGATCCACGTGCCTAGCCCATCCCACCAGCAGAAGCAGTAGCCCCCATAGTATCAGAGAGGGCTCAGGACTCCTGGGACGGTGTGGGCTAGCCTCTGTAGATGCCAAAGCATCTCTTCCTGGCCCCTGCTGTGACCTCTGCCACACTCAACATAGAACCAGGCACCACTCCTAGGGCCTCTCCTGCTGGAGCCCTGGGGACAGGCCTGTGAGTAGGCATTCAACATGCAGCACAGGGGTCGCAACCTGCTAGCTGGCATCAGGAGGACCTTGGAGCTTGGCGCTCTGCTCCTGGCTTGCTTGTCAAAGGTTCAGTTTGACAACCTTGGCGGCCTCATGCCAGGCCCTTGTGCCAGGTGCTGGCACAGAGATGCTCTAGGCCTCGCAAGCTGACAATAGAGGAGTGGGGGGTGCAGGGAACACCGGGGTTTATCCTCTGGCAAATGAGTTCACAGTGACCATGCTGGACACTTGGTCCCAAACAGACCTCACCTTGGCCCGGAGTGGATACCAGCGGAAGGACTGTGTTGCTCTGTCTTCAAAGTCCCATGTGGCCAGAGGAACAGTCACTTCTCCAAGGAACACCCTCCTGGCAAGCGTGCCCAGGTGCCACACAGAGACTTGCAGCTGCCGGGTCGCCAGCTGAGCAACGTCCACCTGATACTGCAGTGCAGAGTGGAGATGGTCAGCCAGGCTCCCGGGCCCCGCCTTCCAGGGCCTGTCAGCCTCTCCCATAGCCAAGCTCCAAGATTTGGCTGCAGCCAGAGTCTCTATGGTCAGGGTGGCAGCTTGGAGCCAAAGCCAGGAAGATCCCTCTTCAAGAGTCCCCCCACTCCCCAAGTGCCTGGGCTCTCAGTCCTCCATGCCACCCCTGATTCCTCACCCCCATTTCTCAGGACAAGATAAGAAGGAAAGTTCTCATCCAGTTCAAGGCTTCAGGAAATCAACCAAGACCACCAAAGCGGGACTTGGACATGGACCTGGCCTATGCTGCACCCAGCTGGGTCCAAAAATACTAAAAATAAAACTATTATTTTTAAAAATTACAAAGTATTGGGGCTGGGAGCCTGGCTCCATAGTAGAGCTCCTGCCTAGTGTGCCCAAGGCCTGGGTCTGACCCTCAGCACTGCAAAAACTAAAACTCAAAAAATGAAAATACAAAGTCTGAGCTTTTACCTGTTAGGTTTGCCCTAGACAGACAAGGCACACAGATGGCAGCAGCCTGTGACACCTCAGCACACCTCAGCACCTCAGCCTGTGACAAAGGCCCCCAGTGCGCCTGTCTGAAGGCTTCTCAAGGTGTGGCCAACCCCGCCTCAGCCCCAGGGTCTCTTTTGAAGCCTAGCAGTTGGATTGTCCCAACAGTGAAGACAGTCACAAGATACTGAGCCTTCCTTCTGTAGGCTTCTGGCTGCCCAGATCCTCAGTTTTCACATGCATCCTGTGAGATCAGTATCACTTATCACCACGTGACCCTGAACACACAGCAGCCTAGAAATCCCCTGAGTCTCCTGCATCCTCACCTACTGTGTCCAGCCTGGGTTCTCACTGCTGGCCCTGCCTGGTGCTGCCCCCAACATGGCGCTTGCTGGGGTGTGACTCTCAACCCTTCAGGACCCTCTAGGCTGTCCCAGGGGAAGGCAGGACACTCACGGCCACCTAAAGCAGGTGGGCAGGGGTTGGTTTGGTTTTGGTCTCATCTATCGCGGCCACCTTTCCCTTTAAGGGATGAGACAGAAACAAACCAGAACTGAAGTGCACTTCTCCCCCTCCGTCTCCCCAGAGGGAAGGGAGGGGGCTCTGTCCCTGGCCCTTCTGTCTTGGCTGTCCTTCTCTCCCTGCTGGGGTTGCTATGGCCAGTAGGTCAGGAGCTCTGGGCCGCGTTCCCCCTCCAGGGCTGGGCTGGTTTTCCATGCTTTCCCTCAGGTCCCCGGCCTGTTTGTGACTCTGCCCACATTCCTGGCTCTGGCTGGGAACTCTGGGGTAACCTGGCTGCTCCTGCCTGCCCCCCGCCCAATCAGTTAAGCCCAGACCTCTCTGCCCACCTGCTGCACTCTGAGAAGTTCAGCTGCTCCAGGGAGGGTCATGAGGCCATGGCCCCAACTCCCCCACTAAGCCCTGCTCTTCTCTTTGGGTCCTCACCTACTGGTCACCCTATCTGATAAGCAGGACAGCACTCCTCTGGTGGCTGAATCTGCTGTGTCAAATTAGATTTTCCATCATCCTGTGGTCCATAGGCCTGCTCCAGCTGACCCCGAGAGTGCTACCCATTCCATACGTTCTGGCACATAAGGATCTTCAGAGAACAGAAGGCTGCCCAGACCTGGGTCTCAGCTCGTCCTTCCCAGGTCCCCACTGCAAGGATCTCAACAGAGGGCTGCCCAAATTGTACTTTAATCAGGAAACTTCTGGATCCTCAAATTTCTCATGCACTTTTGTCAAATCCAGTTGGAGAACGCCCTGGAGGCTGTTATCTCCCCAACCTTCCTGTGGCCTGCCCTGGGCTCTACAGACCTGGGAGCCCAACCCAGGGGTTTCCCCAAGGTTTTTGATGATTGATCTGCTCTCCAAGCCCTGCATCTTTTCTGTATTACGTGAATTTCTTTAAGAATAAATCTGACACAACTTATTACACAAGTGAAGAACTTCACATCTATATTGATGGAGTAACAGGCCTGTTTTCTGTTCCAATTTTAATGAAAATGTCTATTGTTTTAGCTTTACCTTTACCATTGACTGTGGAGTATTTTTTTATTGGCAGTCTGTTTATCATACAAATGTCTTCCTCTTCAATATGAATTTTCAGTGTCCTCAAAGTTGTTCCCTTCATTTGTGGTACACTGAGAGGGGTAGGGAATAAGTATGGGAGGTAGGGTGGGGAGGGGGCTTCAGCTTTTTATATAAAACATCCATTTCTCTTGAAGACTGCAAGTAAATATATGAAGATACTGGCTAATTCTGGATTGTGGTATATGGATATCTTGTCTTATTTTTTGTACTTTTTTGTATTTTTAAAATTTCTCAAAGTTAATAAGAATGGGAGTGAGGATGGGAACTCTGTACCTGTAGAAGTTATGTTATAATGGACTAATTCCCAATCAAATACTAAACTTTTTATAGAAAATATTTCTAAAATTTTATTAACAATGAGTGGATGGACTTGCTCTCTCTGTAATATGAAATTATCTATTTTATTAAAATTAAAATGACAGCATAAAAAAAAAAGAATAAATCTGGCCGGGCACAGTGGCACATGCCTATAATCCCAGCAGCTCGGGAGACTGAGACAGGAGGATCACAAATTCAGTGCCAGCTTCAGTAACAGTGAGGTGCTGAGCAACTCAGTGAGACCCTGTCTCTAAATAAAATACAAAATAGGGTGGGGATGTGGCTCAGTGGTTAAGTGTGCCTGAGTTCAATCCCTGGAAACCAAAAAAGAAAAAGAAAAGAAATCTAGACTGTGTCAGGATCCTCTGAATTTAGATGAAAACTTGATTTTTTTAAAAAAATATCTGGATAGTTTCCCAGGACTACAAAATATTCACAATAGACTAGATGAAACCCTTGAGTAAATGTAATTTTAAATGATTTGAGATTCTGTGTATAATTTTTAAAAGGTAGGAAAAATTGACCTGTATAATTAAATACTTATCTAAAACAGTCCCCATTTCATAAACCACTTCTAGCACAAAACACCTTATTAAATTTATGATGAGACATTTTAGATATCAACTTAAATGTGTGAGACAGCACAGAGTTTTCCAAATTCTCCAGCAGGCATGGACTCCAGGGTGGTCTGCAGCTCAGGCCTGGCCAGGGGGAGGGAGTAGAGCCGAGTAGAAGAGAGTCATTGCAGGTCCCACCTCCACCTGCTGAGTCAGACTCTGCAACTTTAAAATAACACCTCTGGGGGATCCTAAGCACAGGAATACCTTCCTTGATGGTTTCAAGCTAAGCTTTCAAGTACTCCCAAAGTCTCAGGTCCCCCTTGGTAAATGAGGATTCTAGTGCCTACATCAGTGTAGATATAAAGCACTTGACCTCAGCAGGGGGCCCAGCAAACAATGGCGATTATTGTTTAATGAACTTGTCTGTGCCATCCACCCAGATGGCCCCTGGCTCGCAGTTCACAGATGCCTCTGCTTGCCAAGGAAGCAAACAAAACCCTCTCCTTTTGCCAGTGTGAGGTGGCAGGACTTCTGGTTTGCCCAGTCCTGGCCGCGGTGTCCCCCAGGTCTAGGCTACCCTTCTGGCTGGGGCTCCCACAGTTGGCTGTCTGCCTGTGCTGGGCCTCCACTCTGCCTCTTCACCCCAAATCAGAGAATGACGTCTCAGCTCTGTCCTAAGAAATCATATTTCTTAGCATCAAAGAAAGTGAGAACCCAAACAATTTCTTTATAATTTTTTTCATAAAATAAGAAGAAAACAGGGTTTGGGGATATTACAATAAAGAGCACTTCATCAAAGGTAGTGACTTAGTCATTGGATTTTCAGGGCCCCCTGCTTGAAAATGCCTGATAATCATAAAAATTCCACAAGACAAACCAATTTCTAAGCCACTCTGTGCCCAGACATGGCCTGAGACATACAGGCAGTCAGATTCTTTCTCCCCATTTTCTTAGAAATCATTAATCAAAGCCCTGCTCTAGTCGGGCCGACTCTGCACTTCTCCGGTTCAAAGGCTGAAATGTATTTTCACCCACCTGCCACTGATTGACAGAGAAATGTATAGGTGTCTGCACTTGTGTGTAACTGATTTGAGGGTTTAAAGAGCCACCCGTTGGACTCTGGCCCATGATGTGAGCCCAGCCCAGGACGGGGAAGACACAGAGCATGAATGTACTCTTCCACAAGTACCTTCAGGGTCTCCTGAAAGGTCGGGTCCAGTGTGTTCTTTTGGACTGCAGTCTTGCGTTTTCCCTGAGACGATCGGTCAGGCAGCAGGTAGGTCTTTATGTACCTAGTGGCCAAATGCAGAAAGACAAACTGAGGCTCTGAGGGTGAGCGGGCTCCAGAGGAGCAGAGCACGCATAAGAACCTTTTCTTTACCCTGTTTCGGACTAGTTTTGAGCTGACAGAAAGGACTCAGGGACCAGGACTGACATGAACAATGTTAGTGCTGAGTGTACAGCTGCTGATTCACAAGGTCATGGCAAGGGGCTGGAGCTCCCCCTGTATTGCTCATCCCCTGCTCCTGGAACCTACAGCCCCCTCCTCCTCATCACCTGCCATTTGATGAGGACCATGAAACGGGATTCTCCAATCTGCCTGAATGTCCAGGCCACACACCAGCTTACCCTGTCTGCACCTCCACCTGCATTTCCTCCAACCCACACAGCAGAAGTGGAAATGGAAAGTTCCTGACTCTGGGGCCTCAAAGGCTGCACATCTTCTGACTGCTGAGGCAGTTTTGAACTTTTATATCCACAGGATTGTGTACAGACATTCTTTTACAACTTGTTTCTTCTCTCCATATGTTTGAGATTCGCCTATATTTCTATGTGTAGCTGCAGCTCATTCATTTACATTCCTACATATTGTTCCATTGTATGAATATGACACAAATCATTTATCCTTGTGAGGAACCTTTGTCTTATGCCTTAGTTTTTGCTTTATAAACAATTCTGCTATGACCATTCCACCATGCATGTGTGAGCGCTTCTCTAGGCACAAAACTAGAAGCCACAGGGCAATGTGTTTCCCTCCACACCCACACCAGTGCTTAGGGTGGAACCCAGGGCCTTGGGCATGCTGGGAAGTACTCTACCACTGAGCTACACTCCCGCCAGCATGTGCATTTTCAATTTCAGCAAATTATGCCAAATTACTAATTAAATTTCTCTAAAACATTTTAGGACTATTTAAGCTTTCTATTTCATCTTGTGTCAAGCTTAGAAAATTTGTGTTTTTAAAGAAATGTGTCCATTTCATCTCAGTTATTAAGTGGTGTTTTTGTTTGTTTGTTTGTTTGCTTGTTTTGTTTTTGTTTTTGTTTTTTTGGTGCCCAGGGGCGCTCAACCACTGATCCACATCCCCAGCCCTATTTCATATTTTATTTAGAGATAAGGTCTCAATGAATTGCTTAGTGTCTCACCAAGGGTGAGGCTGGCTTTGAACTTGCCATCCTCCCATCTCAGCCTCCCATGCCTCTGTGATTACAGGTGTGTGCCCCAGCACCCAGCTTCAGTTGTTAAGTTTTAAATAATATCCTCTTCTTATTCATTAATGGGTAAGCTTTGCCACAGTGTCTCTTTTCGTTGGCATTTGTATATTCTCTTTTTTAAAATCTTGATAAAATTTACCTCAGTGTTTACCAATTTTTCTAATTTTTTTCGAAGAACTGACATTTGGGTTCATTATTTTTTCTCTATTGTTTTCTATTTCATTGATTATTGATCTTATCTTTACTATTTCCATCCTTCAGAATTAATTAATTATTTTTTCTAGTGTTTTAAGTTGAAGATTTAAATGATTCACTTTTAATCTTTTTTCTTTTTAAATAGAAACACTACTTCAAATGCATTCCTCAAATTTTAAAATGTAAAAGTCAGGGGACATTTTGGAACATTCTTGGGTGTATGGTATAAGTAGAAGAATATTACAAGTTATAGACCAGAAGTATAAGTAAGATGGTTATGGAGAACCTTAAGTGCTATAGAAATTTGTACTTTTTTTTTTTTTGACACTGAAGAAACATTGAAGGTCTAAGTACTAATGTGAAAAACAGTTCTGTAGAAAAATGTATTCACAACCTCAGGTAACATGGAATTCTACAGACAGATACACATACACCAAAAAAAGATTTTGTCTGTGTGTTTATATGCATGTGTGTATTATGTATGTGCTGTGGATAGACCCCAGGGCTTTGTGCATACTAAACATATTCTCTACCAATGAGCTGCACACTAGACATCCCAAAGCAGAGATTTTAGAGAAAAAGATACACGAATTAATATTATCAAAATTTCTACCAAGAAAAATCATCACAAATAGGCTGGGGTTGTGGCTCAGTGATAATGTGCTTACCTGGCACATATGAGGCACTGGGTTCGATCCTCAGCACCACATAAAAATAAATAAAAATAAAACAAAGAAATTGTGTCCATCTACAACTAAGAAAAAAATTTAAAAAAAAGAAAAATCATCACAAAGAGATTAGAAAATAAAGACTAGCTGAGATAAATGTATCAAATAAGGCTGGCTGTGGCAAAGCAAACCCACAATCCCAGCTACTGGGGAGGCTGAGGCAGGAGGATCACAAGTTTGAGAACAGCCTCAGATACTTAGCAAGACCCTGCCTCAAGATAAAAAAAATAAAATGGGCTAGGCATGTATTTTAATGGTAGAACATCACTGGGCTCAATCCCCAGTACCAAAACAAAACCAGACAAAAAGTAACATACAAATAACCAATGAAAAGCTTTTAAAACCTATTCAAAATAGGTTCTTGAAAATATTTTCCTTCTGAGTATGGTGGCACATGTCTATAATCCCAGCTATTCCAGCAGAGGCAGGAGGATCACACATAAAAAGGTCTGGGGATGTAGCTGAGTGGTAGCATCTGAAGTGTACTTTGCATGTGGGATACCCAGGTTTAATCCCCAGCACCACACACACACACTCTTATAATTTTCTTGTGAGTAAATAAGAAAATGACAAACCAATAGAAAAATGGGCCAAAGGTATGAACAGAATGTTCCCAGAAGGAGAAATCTAAGAGGTTAATATGGGTGTGTATGAAGCTGCTCGTCTTTATCAGGTAATCAGGGATACACACATTTAAATAACGGTGATACAACATTTCTTATCTATTAGTTGGGGAAAATTAATCTGTTAATGAATTGTGTAAAGCACAATTCAGTTTGTTTTTCCTACATGGAAAGGCAAACTCTCCAACACCATTTGTTGATGTCCACCTTTCCTCCCTGATTTGTAATAGTCCCTTGTAATAGCCTGAATGTTTATGTGCTCCTAAAATTTATATTGAAACTTAACCCCCAATGTGATGGCAGTTGGAGATTGAGCCTGGGGGAGGGGACCTGGTGGGAGGGAGCCCTGGTGAGGGGATGGACTAGTGCCCTCTTTTTATAAAAGAGTCCTCAGAGGGCTGTCTCACCCCTTCTTCTGTGATGACATGGATGACAGAAGCTGATGGCCACCTATGAACCAGGAAGCCCACCCTCACCAGGCTCCAAATCCATCAGCACCGCGGACTCCTCACCATCCAGAACGGGGAGAAATGAAGTTCTGCTGTTCAGAGGCCGTCCTGTCTGCAACCTTCTTTAACAACAGCTAGAGAGGTCTAAGAAGCCCTTGATCATAAAGTTCCCACATATTCAAAGGTGGACGGCTAGACTTCTGATTCTGCTCTATTGAGCCATCTATTTTTGCCTCCATAACTTAGTTTGAATTACTACAGCTTTATGAAAATTCTTGAAGTAAGTAAGTAGTTTCTATTTTTGTTCTTTTTTATAATCATCTTTGTTATTTTGGGATTTTCACTTTTCCATATAAATTTTAGAATCAGGACATCTATCATCTTATGTTAAAACTTAAAAAAAAAAAAACTCACGGGTTACACTTTTTCTTCTTTTCTTCTCCATAAGCAAGGTTCTTACAGGTTTTGATGCATATTTCTAAAGAATGGGTTTTGAAGCAATAACGAATGGCAAATTCTATTTCTCCAGTGACATTAGCGTTGTCAAAATTACCCATCTCTGTGCAAGTGCTGTTAATGCTAATTAAACTTCCCTGAAATAAAAAATGACAGATGTAATAAATTACTTCACAGTTAAAAGTTTTTTTGGCAGTCCTGATTTTAAAGTATCAAATCAATCTCAATTCATACAGAGCATGTATCCTGACTCATATTAAGTTACCTTGTACCCGTTTGTACTTTGCCAAAATAAGCAGCCACCTGTTTGATCCTGAGGAGATGGGGAATCCTCAGAAGGCCCTCTCCTTCCAGATATGGTCTTTGCCTAGCAATAAAGGTTACGCAATCCCACTCTTTAACACAAGTCACTTAGGACAAGATGGACTATATCTGTGCAGTTCTGCCAAGACGAGGTCCTGCATTCAAGGCAGCCAGGTATAAAGAACTCGGCCCAGCGTGGGCAGGGCCTGAGACTGGGGAGTCCAACAGACCTGATTCCGATGCTGGCTCTGCTACTCATTAGCAGTGTCCAAGTCTAACTAGGAAAGAGACTGGTGTCTCAGGGCTTTGGTGAGGACTGACAGGAACGAGGTACAGAAGTGTGCAGACAGAGGAAATGATAAATTGTTTTAATGTTAATGGGCACCTAAAATTAAAAAAGAAGCACTGTCATCATAAATTAGGGTGTTCTAAGCTTACATGGTGGCTATAAGTAGCAGAGGAAGCCTGTGCCTAAAGGATAAAATAAACCACCTTTCAATAATTAGATTTTCTTAGACAACTGCCACAATTTGCATGCAACTGATCTCAGAGCTGTCTTTGTAGGAGTAGAAAAGAAGTGTGATTTCTGCTCGCAGTGGGTTCACTGATTATTCATATTAAAAAAACATAGCTACAATCTCTACCTTATACCATTTATAAAAGAATTAACAAGCTGGAGCACAGACCTAAACATAAAAGCTCAACATTTTTAAAAATATATTTTTAGTTGTTGATGGACACTACACCTTTATTTAATTTATTTATTTTTATGTGGTGCTGAGGATCATACCCAGGGCTTCACGCATGCAAAGCGAGCCCTCTACCACTGAGCCACAATCCCAGCCAGCCCACTAAAAGCTCAACTTTTATTAAGCTCCTAGTTGAAAGCAGGAGACCATCTTCTTGGCTTGTAGAAAGACAAGACACAGAAGGGACTACACTAGAACAATTTGATAAATTAGACTTCATTAAACTTAAAACCTTTTCCTTGGGCTGGGATTGTGGCTCAGCGGTAAAGCGTTTGCCTAGCACATGCGGGACCTGGGTTCGATCCTCAGCACCACATAAAAATAAAGGCTTGTGTGTTGTGTCCATCTACACCTAAAAAAATTAAAAATAAAAAAAAAGACTTCAACCTGTCTTAAAAAAAAAACAAAAACCTTTTCCTTGAAAGAAACACTCATTTTATTCAATACTCTTTGAATGAAAATGTTCATGATAAGATGTAAAAAAGGGAAACCACCCTCAAAACGTAGCAAGGCTCAATATGACCTCCAGGCTCTGCTGTGCTCCAAGTCACCTCACCCCTGCCTTTGTCCACCAGTCCAGTTTGATGTTTTTTACTCTATTGGTTCTGGTTTTGGTGCTAAGCACATACTGACGTCAGGAGGAAGAGATAAGGCTGGGAAGATAGGGAGACGGGCCCCTGGTCACTTCCTGGGCAGCAGAGCACATTCAGCACCTGCAGATATTTGCTAAGAAACTTACAAAAAAGGCTGTTCTTAAACCAGGGCCTACGTGACTAGGGTCCATGCCACTCCAAAGAAGGAAAAATGCCTGATGGATGTTTCGATTGGACTAAAAGCTGCAGGAATACCTAGCGGACACTGAATGCCTTCCCCAGGATTGGGCAGGAAGCTAGCCGACTTAACCCTACAGACCTATATAAATGCCTAGACAATAGCCCCTCTTTGGCATCCTTCTCTTGGGACCTCTCTCTTTTGGGGAACTGTGCTTTCTTTCTATTACTCTAATAAATCCTGTTACTTTGCTCTCACCCTTGTATCCATGGATCTTATTCTTCAAATTCATGAAACAACTTGACCCCACCCTCAGTGCTACACTACCATTCAGCTAGATCCCCAGCCCCCGCATTCTGTGTTAAGAGTGTCGGGACAAGACTCACGTGTCTCAAGCCTCCGGAGAACAAAGGGCTCGGGGAGGGGCCCAGTGGGAGAGCATCTTGCCTCAAACCAAGGCTGGCAGAGCGTCTGGGATCCTCTTGAGGAAGAGGCTTGGAAATATCTGGTGTGCTGACCTTCTGGGGAAGGAAAATCAAAGTCAATATGATGGCCCACACGCCCATTGACTCTCTTCAAATGCAGAGACTTCAGCACAGCCCGCACCTATCACTTGGTAGGAGTCATATAAACTTGGAGTGACTGAGTAAGGGAGATACTTGCGTTTGGATAAATGTACCCCCCACCCCCGCAGGGCCTGAGGAAGACATTGTCAAGCTCTGGGATAGTCATGAACATGGATGGGTGAGCTACTTATGGATTAGTAAAAGTCTTAAAAGAAGTGCACGCTTTGGCCTTCATAATGATCCTGGCATTTAATCACATGAAATATAATATTCAGTCTTATACACAGTAAGATTTAAATGCTCATAAAGAGAGAAAAATCAAGCCAGGCATGGTGATACTTGGCTTTAATGGCAGCTATTCATGAGGCTGAGGCAGGAGAATAGCAAGTTCAAGAGCAGGCTGGGAAACTTAATGGGACCTTGTCTCAGAAGTAAAAAAAAGGCCAGGGATATAGTTCAGTAATAAAGTATTTATCCAGCACATACAAGGCCCTGGGACCAATCCCTACTACCAAAAAAAAAAAAAAAAATGTGGGAGAGATCAAAATATACCTCTAAATTTTATAAAGCTACTTTTTAAATTTTTAACACTGTTTACAGCTGAGCTTCCCAACACGATAGCCATTGGCCACATAGGACAACTTGAATTTAAATTCAAGTTAATTAAATTAATAAGCTCAGCTGCTCATTTGCACTGGACACATTTCAGTGCTCAGACACCACGTGTGACAGTGGCTACTATATTGGACAGTTCACACTGTCAGATAAAGAACATTCCACTGCTGCAGGAAGTCCTGTCAGACATCACCAGTAGAGTAATACACATAATATGGAAGTTAGAAAAATTGCTTCCAGACCAACAGTCGAAAGTTTCTGAATTGAGGCTTCCGTCTTGGTGCTAGGTTGGAAGGAGGATTCATATACCATCTGCACCAGAGTCCTAAATGTCATGAATGAAATGCTAAGTGAGAACACCAAAGAACAGAAGAATGGATCGTCTCCAAATCACTGTCTGTGCTCTTCATCTCCACAACACCAACTCAAGACCAAGAGACAGTCACACCACACTCCACTGAATCCACGGCTCTAAACCCTGGGGCTGGAAGAGGATCCAAAGCTGGCATCAGGTCTCACCCACTGCAGGGAAGATAGAGGCACCAGCCACTTGGTGGCAAAGAGGTGAGGGGAGATTACTGGGTGTGGGACATCTGGGGTGACCTTCAGTGGGGGTATGACCTGAGTGGGGTGCTGGCAGGTAGCTGGGGAAGACCAAAAGCTAAGGCAATTGGGGCGCAATTCCTACGCCTACAGAGACTCCGGGGCCAGGCAGACCAGACCCAGGAACCATGAGCAGACAGGGATGTGAGCTTGTCCAGGGGGCTCCAAAGGGTGGGCAGAGAAGGCCACCAAAAGCCCTGTTTCCAAGAGTCCTGGAAGATGGGCAACTGCCACCAGTGGTCAGGTGACCCAAGTCCCTCAGAGGCAGCCAACTTGGCAGAACTAAAAGTCCTAAAAACCAGCTGTCAAAGGAACCTGTGTGTTGATATGGAAAGAACAAGTTAGACTCTTCCTTAAAAGCAAATGACAATTGGGGACCTGGGGTGGGTGCCCTTTCTGTTAAATGGAATCTGTGGAGTGCAGAGGCATTTTATTGTGTAAGGCAGAGAGGACTGGGATGTGTGTCCGTGATGAGAGGCCCAGAGGGGCTCTGGAGGGAAGAGACCCCACCCAGGCTCAGGAACAGGGGGAAAGGCAGCCAGGAGACAGACAAGTGCCCAGGGAAAGAGGCTCTCTCCTGCTTCCACTTCCAAGGGCCTGGAGCCCTGGAGGGTTCGTGACATGTGCTAGGACAGACTTCATAGAAATGATAGGCGAGTGTCTTTCTGAGGAGAGACAGTGGAGAATCCCACCTGGCCCCTCCCAACCTGTGGGACACAGCAAGAGGGCAGGAACCTTCCAGCATCTTGATCCCAGACTTTGAGCTCCCAGAATTGAGAGAAAATAATTGTCGGATGTTTAAACCACCCGATCTCTGGTAATTAATTATGTTTTGGAAGCTTGGCTGACTGCTATAGTGTTCAACATACATTTTAAAAATCATGTTTTTTGAATCATAAAAAATTAATGGCAGAAAGTTTTAGAAAGGAACAAAGAGAACTGTCTTTACAATAGAGGTTACATGGCACACTGGATTCTTGGCCAGGGAAGACTCCAATAGGTCAGGACACAGGAAAACCTTCAGTGGAGTTAAAACACAAATGTAAATATTTCAGGATTATTAGGAAAGCAGATACTATTCTGAGGGGTTATTTTTCATTCACTATGGAACCCAAGATGAAGTTCTGTGTTCCGCTTTTCCCCCAGGAAATTCTGAAGGATCTGGACTAGACTGTCAGATCCAATGTCCTACGAAAGGGCTTCAAGATCCTAGGAGTTTATCAATGGCATTGAGATGGGCATTGTCCCCCTGCCCACAACTGTGATTTTTTTCCTTCTTATTTATTTATTTCTGTGATTTTTTAATGTCCTTCATAATCATCTAGTTTTAGTTAGACCCAGAGAAAGATGGTGGCCCTGAATGGGGTCTAGTCTGCAAGGCGTTTGACATTATGTGGGAAAGATCAGTAAGTACTAAGTTTCATTCGATCAAATTATGAACCCTCGGGAAGAGTTTTGCTGTTAATAGCTAAGAACACAGAAAATAATAGAAGGAAGAGCAACTGCTGGTGCCTCTGTGACTTCCTCTGGGGACTACCTAAACTTGAAAGCCCACTGGAGTGCAGAAACCACTCGGTTTGGCTCGGCCAGTCACATGCTCTGAGCAGGGGCGTCCCTCTGGAGGCAGACCACCTCTCCTGGGGCACAGGAGGGTCCCTGCCGTCCAGCCTGGTGTTAGCAGTGAGAAATGACGCTGCTACTCGCCTGGCCTCCTCCGCCCACTCCGCCTCTGGGATGCGGCTGCTGGTGGCAGGGAAGACGTGCAGGGACTTAGACATCACACAGTACCAGGAGAGCGAGATGAAGCAAAGTCCTTTTCCTCCACCCTTGTCCCCAGGCCCTCTCCCCAGAGAGCCCCTCCTACCAGCTTTTTATAAAGCTCCCTGTTTAACAGGTGCACGTTTTTATGGGCAGTATAGATCAACCACACGTTCATAAGGCACAGTAAAACCCACTGGAATGCACACAAGAGAGGTGGGGAGAACTCACTTCGGAAGAATCCTGGCCCAGATGCTCCAGGGAGGGTCTCGGAGCACTTTCAGAATATGCTCTTCAAACTTAATGACCAGAAACTTGGAAGAGATCCTGAGCCACTTGTTCGGTTAACAGCTCTGAGCCACCCCGGGGGGTCTAAGAAAGCTACTTAAACCAAGTGCAGCAGTGCATACCTATAATCCCAGCATTTGGGAGGCTGAGGCAGGAGGATGGCTTAAGCCCAGGAGTTCAAAACCAGCCTGGGAAACACAGCAAAACATTTCAAACGAGAAAAAGAAGAAGGTCATCTATTAGCTCTGTGCCATAGCCACCTGCAAGGTGGGCACCAACGACCGATACTTCCAAGGGCACTACGTCGTATGATTAATGTTGGCAATATGTTCCAAAGTGTTCTCATGGAAACAAGTACCATTACTGTGAGCTCCCCAGCTGAGGCACGTGTGATTGCAGTCTGGAAAATGTCCTATTAAAGGATGTACTCCTTATTTTTCAACCCAATAATTATTTAGCATTTATAGATTCTGTTTGCTGAGTTTTGGTGGAGTATAAACATTTGGCTAAAGTACTCTGTGAAAGAGACATATCCTCAATGACACTGGCAGAGAGAAGTCCTGCCCAGAGTGCAAGCATGCCCTGCCCAGAGCCTGGCAACAGAGGGCACACACATGTAAGGGCCCATGCAGTGGAGGCTCTACCCACAGCCTCCCCCTGCACCTCCTCACTTCTATCCCTGAAGTCCCCTAGCCTACTTGAAAACCTCCATAACTGCTTGGCAGGCTCTATTCTGTGGGCACAAGCTGCAGGGGAACAGTGCACCAAGGATGCCACATTATGACAGCATTCCCAAAGCCCAAAGCAAGGCCCGTGGGAGCTTGGTGTGCCCCACACAGCACAGCACACCGCAGATGGGAAAGGTACCGAGTCTCCACAGCAGGGTACCATGGGGAAGGTCCTGAGGCAGGTTCTATCTGACCCCAACCCTCCTGACCCCATGACCCCCTTCTGCCCACATGACCCCAAAGGTCCTCATCTCCAATGGGGACAGCAATAATGCAACCCTCACGGGGTTGTTTTAAGGATCACAAAGGTTAAATACCAATAAGGGCTCTCTGCAGAGAACCGTGCCCAGAGCACTGCTGATCTGTCGGTGTTGGCATCAGAGTGGCTTCATCAGACCCAGTAAGAGAATTGTTCACACTTCCAAATCCCTCTGGAACCCTTTTTTCTCAGTGGCCCTCGCTTGTCCTTACATGGGGCATAGATAGAACAAAGAGGCTAAATTTTTCTTACTTAAAAATCATACAAACCCAGGTTCTATTTCTGGTTTCTTTTGTTTGTTTGTTTGTTTTTGTTTTTAAGCTATGAGCTGCTAGTGAAGTTGGTTAACCTCACTGACACTCAGGTCCTTGATTGACATCGTGGGAGTTTTTGTGAGACACAAGGTGATGACGTGGTTCATGGTGAGCACTAACTCCCGACTCGGTCTCTTCAGGAAGAGCAGTGGATTCTGGTGTGAACTGATGCTTATGCACACCTGAGAATTTCAAAGACCTTCAGGGTTTCAAACACTCCTGGCGCCTTGCCCCTACAGGGTGGGGAATTGAGAGTCAGTGCCCAGAGCTCAGCCTTCAAGCTGGTTCAGCTACGTCACTGTGGCCTGTGACGTAACCCCACCAAGGCTTCGTGCTCCTAGATGTAAAGAGGGGCTGCCTCAATACCTACCTCCTAGGGTGGGTATGTCACTAGAATGAGATGCCCCAGCAGAGCTCCTGCACAGAGCATGGCGCATCATAATCAACGCCAGCAATCTGAAGAAGGTGTTTGGAGGACTTTGCTGGCAAATGAGATAGTACAGCACTCAAGGGAGACCTGCGAGAACCCTGTGCTGGGGAACAACAGGTGACTTCATTTTACAGGGGGAGTCCTGGGCTCAGGTGCGAGGCAGCGGATGGAGGCAGAACCTAGCACCTTGGGAACAGGTGCTGAGGTTCTAGCAAGACAGTGGGCTAACGGGAGGACAGTATCTGGGGATGTCTCAGGGGATCCCATGGCCACAGAGAAGGGACATGTGTCCCATGCAGCTGAGCAGAGCAGCCATAATAACGCTGCACACAACATGGCTGGCACCTGCCCAGTCAGGTCACCTCAGCTGGACTAGAACCCAGGCGTTCTGATCCCAGAGCCAGCTTGCTCCTGTCCTGGTCTACCCGCTGCGGGCTGGGTAGGTGAGCTCGCCTTGGTTCAGACACTGGGAAGGAGCCCCCTGCTTGAACATGATTATGCAGCATTTGTGTTTCCCATAGTTTCCTTCAGAGACCAGGACCGATTATAACTAAAGGCTGTTGATCCTGAACATAAGTGAGGGGTTTCACAGACCCTGGGAACCACGGCAATCACAGGTCCTGCAGGTGCTGTGGCCTTGAAGCCCGTGGGCAGAAGCCTTGGGGACTCATGGCCACACTAAAGCTTGTAGCTGCTCTGAACAGTTGTGCAGGTCGAACTCCTTTCCTTTCTGAGGCTTCTGGGCTCAAGGATCCTCCTGTCTTAGCCTCCCAAGTAGCTGAGACAATAGGCACAAGTCACCACACCTGTTTTGATCTTAAATTCTGACTCTCCTTTGGCCAAATGCAGAGCTTTCAATCACATTTTTCTGACTGTGAATTGTTTTGCCATCAAAGGAAAAATAAATCTACAGAGAAAAAGACTGGGAAGAGAACACAAAGGGGGCGGCGCAGGGCGGGGGCCTCAGGTACCCTGGTGGTGACGTTGACCGCAGTGTCTGACTGGCTCCGTCTCTGCGTCTGGCCTGCACACTGCCTGGGGCTGGTGGCTAGAAGATGCTTCTCAGATGTCATGTCATTCTGGGACTTGGAGAGCTCTGGAACACAAACACAAGGGACGACAACTGGGAGCGCATGGCTTTGCGGAGTCCCATGGAGCCCTCCCCTGGGATTCCCGAGACCCAGGGGCACAGGAGGGCCAGAAGGGGCTGGGGGGGAACAGGGAGGGACCAGGGAGGGGCAAGGGAGGCCTGTTCACCATGGAGCATGGGGGCGCCCAGAGGAAGCCAGCAACTGTGCTGGACACAGGGCCGGAGGAGGGCCGGGCCCTCTAAGGGGCCTCCTGTGGTCACACTCTACACACCTGACAGGTGGAGCCTGGGAGAGTTGAAGGAACCCCCCAACTTCCCCAGTATTCCCCACCACTCATATGAGTACACACTTGTCCCGCTGCGGGCTGGGTAGGTGAGCTCGCCTTGGTTCAGACACTGGGAAGGAGCCCCCTGCTTGAACATGATTATGCAGCATTTGTGTTTCCTTCAGAGACCAGGACCGATTATAACTAAAGGCTGTTGATCCTGAACATAAGTGAGGCCCAAAGATGGTAGCCACCAAGCAAGCTGGCTTCCCAGGGGTTCCCGACAGAGCTTTCGTGGCTCAACACGGCGTCTTAGGACTCTTAGAAGGGCAGGGAAAGTAAGATCTGAGGTGTCCTTACAAGTATCTCAGTAAGAAAGCAGGCCTGAGAAGAGGACTCAAACGCTCGTCTTTGCAGCATAACACTGGTCTAAAACAAGAGCGAAGGAGGAACCGCGCACAGAAGGAAAGAGCCGCCTCAGAAATGCTCCCTCCTCCTCGGGGGCTCCCTTTCCCAGGAGGCCTCCCCTCTGGGCCCTGGAGCTACCTTCCTAGCGCACTGCTGTCTGTGAGAGACACAGTGCAATCACTTATGAGTCCAAGTTTTTGCAAGCCACATTAGGCAAAAAGAAACAGGCAATATTAATTTTGATTCTGCATTCCATGTGACGCTACGTCCAAAATGCTATTAGAACACGTGACCTATGATATTAAAGTTATTCATGAAATAGTTAACTCTCTTTAACTCCAAGTCTCTGAAGTCTGGTGTGTGTCCGACTCTGGCAGCACATCCTGTGACTACATTTCGGGGCCACGGGAGCAGCAGTAAGACACAGCACAGCCCAGGCCAGCCCTCTGTCTTCTGGTCCACCCACTGAGCCACACTGCCTCTGCATTGGCTACCTATGAGCTGACTCCTGCCTGCACGGCCATGGGGAGCTTTAGAGGCCCCTAGAGGGAGGTCCCTGGCAAACGCCCCCAAGCCCCAGGGCACCCACCCTTGCCCACCTCGCCATCGTCCTGTCCCAAGAGCCCTGTCTCCCTGCTACCTCAGATCTAGTACTAGCAGTGTCTGGGGCGTCTCTCAATGTCCAGCAGCTAGGAAGGACTAGCACACTCTGGTCCTCCAGCCCAAGTCACCTCCATGAGCTCCCCATGTGGCCAACCCAGGCTGGCTGAGCACGTGAGAGACTCCAGTTTCCAACCCCCAGGAGATGCCGTCCCTCCTCGCTGCTCCCCCCATCATCTGCTCAGGGCTCACCCCACAGCCTGAGCCTACTTGGTCCACTGCAAGCCACAGAATGAGGAGGGAATCTCCTTGAGCAGCTTGGGTTCTGACAAGAGGGCCTGGTCACCCATCGGCAGGGCTAGAGGACACCCAGAGCCCTGAGCAAGAAGCCATTCCTCTTTCCCTTCCAAGGCGACAAGCTGCCGCCACCTCCTAGAGATGAGCTGATAACAGAAGGGCTGTTGGAGCAGTAATAGCAGCCAGAGGTCACTGTGAGTCAGCTTCCCAAGCCCCACGGGCAAGGCCTCCTCCTCCATGCTAGGTCTTTGGTCCCTGAAGAGCCTGGGCCCCTTCCAGCCCCTCCCATGCCCACTAGGTACCAGTCTGACATCCTGCCCACAAGGGGGGTTTCCTCTGCACCCACTTTGGTAGGGAAAAGGGTTGCAGCACAGATCAAGAGGACACGTGGAGAATCACTCAAAACCTGTAAAAACACGAATCAGTGCCTACAAGATGTTGCGTGCCCTGCGTGCCCTGCAGCAGACACAGGGACAGGGGCCGGTGGAGTCATGTGCCTGTTTCTGCAGACCAAGCAGGAAGCGCTCAGGACAGTTCTCAGGTTCTTGGCCCTTCCCAGGAGCCAGAAAGCAGGGCTTGAACTACCCCTCCCTGGGGGATGAGGCAGCAGGGACATAGGTCACGGAGCTTCAGCTGAGTCCCCTAGCTCAGAGGGACACTGCTTTGCTCTCATGAATCCCCGCCCTCACCCCACCCAGAGATTAGCTCTAGTTGTCCACCCAGGTGTCTAACTGGCAAACCTTGGATGAGTGAGCAGAGGTACGTGAGACTGTGGGCTGGTCCCTCAGGAGACTGTGCACCCAGGGCCCTTTTGGAGGAAGCTTAGGTTGGGGTCCATTCAGGGCATCGATTCCAGTAGCAGTGGAGGGAGGGATTCACACAAGCCCCGTGGATCTGGGGAGGAGCGGCACAGCTAAGATGTGGAGCAGGTCCCACTGGAACCTGCCGTGGAAGGGAGCCAGCTGGGCGAGCATGGGCAGCTCCACCGCCAGGCTGAGGGGCACAGGGGGTCTGGCGGGGTGTGTGTACGCTAGGAAAGCTCTGCAGGGTAAGATGGGTGATTTTTAAACCCCCAGGCACTGTTGCCAACAGGCCAATGAAATCCCGTTGCTTCTCCCTTCTGAAAAAGAAGGCGACAGACCCTTGCTTGTGTAGTCACAGTTGTTCTTAACTGAAGAGCGGGGGTTGGATTTCAGTTGTCACCAGGGGACAGCTTAGACAGGCTCATGTGGACTACAGATGGCTACTTAAAATCAAATCATCAGACGGTCTTGGAGCCAACAGGGGACAATGAGACCATCCACACGCAACCTCAGGGAAGGAGGTGATGAACCAAAGCCAAACAGGCACGGACAAAGGGAAATGAAGCCCCAGGAGCCCTGATCCCACCAAGGACCCTGTCTGAACCAGGGCCTGCCCTGTATATCTTAGGAGGCATGAAAGGGTCCAAGACCTGAATTTTAAGATAAGCAGGAAAAGGGGAAAAAAAAAAACAACGGAGGGGAGAAGGTCCACTGAGGGAGACAGGGTTCCAGCTGAGGTGGTTAACTGCATTTGCAAACTTCAGGGTGACTGCCAGAGGAAGACCAGACATTGATAAGGAGAAAAAGAAGAGACAAGTAATTCCATGCAAGAGACAGATCCTGGACCCCATCGCCTTGAAGGCTCTGGTTTGGGATTCAATGGAATCCTCATGTTTTCTTGGTTGGTCTCCCGGGGTCTCCTGGGAAGCCCACACACGTCGCCCTCCCTTGTCCATGGCGCCCAGCTAGGCAGGTTCGGGCCTGGAAAGGAGGAAACTGGGCCAACGAGTGGACTGACATGGCATCTCCTCCCGCGAGGAACCAGAGGCCTGCTCTGTGGGTGGCGAGATGAAGGGCCCGGTGCTGTGGCTTTCCCGAGGGTCCAGGGACAGTCCCATCTGAGGCGGCCCGCCTGTCTGCCTGTGTGGCATGGGAAGGAGACATCCTGAGGCAGTGACTTACTTTTCACGTGGGTGGTAACAGACAGAAACAAATTCTCCACGGACTTATTAAATCCTCTGAACTGACCAAGTTCCTGTAACTAAAACAGACACAGAACGAGTTAATGCTTGATGGCCTGCTTTGCCCCGAGTCTCTAGACTGTCGGGCCCCAAAACACTGCTGATGGGTGCGGGTGCTCATTGGGCATGCAGGTGGGGGTGGGGGTGGAGTGACCCTCCCAGGACTAGGCACCCCTGCTACTCAGCGTCTCCGCTCTATATTTTGATATCCTCATAAAGGAAGAAGCATTATCGACGTGTGGTTCATAAGATAACAACTACCTCTCAGACAGGATGAAGGATAGTTCCTTGGCTCAAAGATTGTACCCAAGTAAATGACTGTTTGTCTAACCTCCTTTTTCTTATGGCCCCACCCTAACTCCATGCACAAAGGGTACCAACGTTGGCAAAATGCAGGTGACATGGGAGCTGAGGGTGGTATAAAGGCACAAAGTGACCAGCTTGGAGTCAAGGAGTTCCACCTCCCAAAGCAGAAGCAGGGAGAAAAATACAACACAAAGACCACTTCCTTCTCCAAGTCTCATCTGTGTATCCACCCACTGTCCATCCAGCCATGCATCCACCATCCATCCGTGCATCCATCATCTGTCCATCATGCATCCAACTGGTAAATATGTGTTGAACATACAAGTGCTGGAAATGCTTTGGAGAATTTAAAATCTCCAGGGGAAGAACAGCAGGATTTTGAAGGTCACCCCAGAGTCTCAGCTTAAGATTGGAAAAGAATGAACATATTGTCTCCATTGGCAGACAAGGATGTTCTCTCAGATGCACAGATATAAGTGCTCCCCTTAATCTATAGGATAAAGGAGATAAACCCACATTTCCATGGCACTTTTACAGTTTTATGATACTTTTTCATTGATTTCTCACAATAGCCATGGGAGACCATCCAGACAGAATTATTTCCACTTCTCAGGTGCGAAACCCAGACAACTCCCCCAAGATCACAGCTAATTCCTTGGGATGGAAATGGTGCTGCTCCACTTTACATTAGATCCTGCAAACACTCAAAAGCCACCTCCAGAGGCCCTGCCAGCTCTCACACACTGTACGTCCATCTGTATCTCCCTGGGGCTGCCCTGTGACCCTACACACAACTCAGCTTATCCAGAACCCCACACACTCACTCAAAGGCACAGTGCATAGCTGGGGGTGAGAGCTGATCGCAAGAGCCAAAAGATGAGGGTGCAGGCAGCGGGGTGGCCCACCGGGCAGATGGCCCATGGCCACCAACCCACGAGGGTGGGAGCACTTCCATGCCTCCACGGGGATCTTTGCCCTCTGCCTGGCTCTGGGACCCACCCAGCCAAAGCAGGAGCCCTCTGCTCCCAGGCCATTGGCCCCTCTCCTGCCTCCTTGCATCTCCCCCGCCGGCTGCCCTTCAGGACACTCACAGTCTCACGTACCCTGCCAGGGCTGCCGCTGCACTGGTTTTCACTGAGAGGAGGAGGAGTAGGAGGCACCACAGAAATTTTGCTGCTAAGGAAAAATACAGGAATAAGCAATGGGTCACAAACTACGTGAGCTACTCCTTTTACAAACGCACGGATGTGCCACGATTCTATGATTCACGTTCTCAGCTTTCTTGTTTTTAAGTAGAAACTAAGTTTTCAAGGAGAAGACACAGCAGCTCTGCTCGGACCTCTGTGAGGAGCACCTTCGCCTGGTACCTGAACACGGGAAGAAGGTCGTGCCCATGTGTTCTGAAACCACAGGGGCCTGGCTCACCCCCGAGGGCCCCAGCCTTCACGTGCAGGATCTTGCTTGGACTCCCAAATTCTCTCAGTGCAAACCACACCAACCCAAGGGCCCAAACTGTTGAGAATATAAAAACAACCAGGAGAGGAACTGGAAGCACAGGCTAAAAGAAGTGAGAACAAATGGGAGAGGAAGAAGTTCTGAGACCGGAAAAATCTCTTCATGGGTCCACAAAGCAGTGGCTGGTGGGAGCGCGCATTCACATGTTAATAAACTCCGTCTCAGGTGTCCAGACCACCGGCAGCTTCCAGGTGCTAGGGGTGAGAACTTTGTACAAAGAAGTTAGCATCTCTAGGACCATTATTCAATGCCACCAGTTCCTTCCACCCATCTAAGATGCCAGGCACTGGGTACCAGGTGAGAGACGTGGATGAGTAATAGCAGCAAATGCTCGGCTCAGTATGTCCTCCAACGTGCAATCAGAAACGATAGTTTGTTTCCTCCCAACATTTCAGGAGAATTTGAGAAACACAACAGGACGTTAAATGAGAAAACACGTTGATACCAGAAGGCTTCTCATGAGAATCCGGAAGCATCTTTGAATCTTTTCCAGGTACTTTATCATTAAAAAATAAAAAAGCTACATTCCAAAGCAGTGACCTCTAAAAGTCAGGAGATCTGAAAGTCCTTTCAGGGAGTCCTCCGCCTGCCTGCCTGCCCTGAGGGCGGGACAATCTGTCCTTCACAACACTCACCTCAGCCTCTGATAAGATTGCAGGAGCTTGGCCCCAGCTGTCTCCCGTTTGCCTGGAGGAGAGATCAGCAAAGGTCATTCAGAAATGAGAATATAACTTAGGTAATACAGATACAGGAATCAATCAGTTAAAATTATTTTCCTTTAACACCATTTCTTGTGCCTAATAAAAGAGGCGGGGGGCGGTGATAGAAATGTTAAAAAATCAGATTGTGGGGAGGGCTGTACAGCTCTCAATTTATTGAACATCATTGGTTTGCACACTTAAAACAGGTGAGTTTATGTTATAGGAATTCTCTCTTACTAAAGCTGTTGACCCAGTAAGAGGCCATAATGGCTGGGAATGACTGTTTTTATGAAAAGTTGATTTTGAATGAGATTTTCTAAATCTGGATAACTTAAAAAACAGTTCAAGCTTCCAAACCTTCCATTTTTCCTTTAAAAACATGTCTTAATTGAATGGATACATTCCTTTAAATGTTCCTTGTGATGGAGATTAAATTAATCTCTTTAAAAATGTAATCTACTTATTTCTGATTAGAGTGCTTAATAATTTCCTAAATTGTATTGTATCTGATATATTACCCTTTTTGTTTCAAGGAGAGAGGTTTCCATGATGTTTTAAGACCCCAAAATGAAACTCCGCATGTCTGTATTTCTGTGACCACAGGTTGTTGGCCACCACACAGGAAGAGTCTGCCCAGGGTGGAAGGGCCAAAGGCCTCCACTCTGCCCCTCACACAGCCCAACCCGCCAGGCTGCACCCTGGGAGGTCAATCCAGCTCCTGCTTCATCTGTTTGGAAAGTTTTAATTCGGAAGAAACATTTAGGTATTAGTATCACTTCGAGAGGATATACCGACAGATGTGTTTAGTAAGAAAATCAGAATGGGCAGGGGAGCCTCTGGAGGGGTGGACAACAGCTGGTGTTAAGTCCTTGAAGAAGCCCCAAACCTTCAAGCAGGAACCCGCCCCAGGTCAGTCCTTAGCTGGGCTGGCCTCGGGGAGCGGGAACCCTTGAAGGCATCTCATTTTTCCAGTCTACCTACCTGTGTGTGTTTCCAGGGCTTCATAAAGGTGTTCACTGGATTCTAAAAGGAGTCCAAGGGCTGTCCCCACACCCCATTAGGAAACACTTCTCTCAGGCAAAAGAGCCCTGCCCCGAGACTGAGAGGGGTGAGTGGAACCGGCTCCCAACAGGTGGAATCCAGCATGGACAAGAGCCCCTGGAAGAAACCGTCTGGGCGAGAAGCAAAGAGCACGCAGACTTGCACACAGCACAGGGAGCATGAAAGCAGAGAACGGAAGGGGAAGACAGAGGAGCAAGGCTGCTCATCCTGCAGTCCTGGGGCAAACAGGTGCTGGGACCCAGATTGATCGTACGGCATGATGCGTCCGCCGTAGTGCACTTATGTTACCCCAACTAACAGACAAGAAATGCCAAGCAGAATCCTAGCACCCGGGTGGGCTGCTCTCCAGAGCCTACCCAGCACCTTGGGTCTCTTCCTGGGGTTGTTTCCCCAACATCCCCTGAGGCCCAGCCCCAAAAAGCAGTCCCTGTCCACAAGCCTCAGGTTCTCTCTCTGTAACCCAAAGCCCTTCAGGGGCACCCTATTGCCTTAGACTAAGGTTCAGGCCCCACACTGCGCCCTGCCTGAGGCCTTGCAATTAGAAATTGCTTCTTATCGCCCCACTCACCTGGGCGTTGCCTCCCTCTGGCTCCACGATTGCTGACACCCCATCCTTCTCCTCAGGCCCCATCTCAAGCCCTCCACAAGGAAAGCCCAGCTTTGTGTCCCATGTCACATTCCTTGGGTTCTCTCCTGGGATCCCTGCAGGTGGCCTTGCCCCAGCATGGCCAGCACATGGCCCTCTGCTGCCCCCTGCTGGCTGTAGCAGCCTGGGAACAAACTTGCTCTTAATTCCTTTCAGTACTAAGGACTGACTGAATCCAGGGCCTCACGCATTCTAGACAAGCCCTCTGCCACTGAGCTATACCCCCGCCCCTTTTACTTATTTATTTTTTAATGTTTCTTTTTACTTGTAGATGGACACAATACTTTTATTTTATTTATTCATTGTTATGTGGTGCTGAGGATTGAACTCTGTGCCTCACACATGCTAGGCAAGCACTCTACCACTGAGCCATAACCCCAGCCCCAGCCCCTTTTATTTTGATACAGGGTCCCACTAAGTTGCCTAGGTTGGCCTTGAACTTGCAATCCTCCTTCCTTGGCCTCCCAAATGGCCGTGGGAATGGCCACAGCATCTCTGTCACTGCTCCTCAACTCTGTGAAAGCAGCCGTGGGCACATCTATGTGCTGATCAAACTTTGCAGACACTGAAATTTCAATTTAACATTATTTTTATATGTCACAAATATTAGTCTTTGTTAACTATTTAAGATGTTAAAACAAACAAAAATGTGCTTACCTCCTGAGACATGAAAATAGGCAGGAGGACCAGCTGGTCCATAGGTTCTGGTTTGCCCAGGCCCTTGCCACCTGACACGGCATGGATCCGGGGCAGCCAGGAGGCCACCCGAAGCCCCAGATCCAGCCTCTCCTGTGCAGATCCAAACCTAATGGGCATGAGAGCCCCAGTGTCTGCAGGCCTCACTGATGACAGAAATGCCCCCCAGTGGCTTTTGTCCGGCTTCTAGGTTTGGGTTATTTTCCTTGCTCTTCTTCTGTCACCCTTTGCCATAGCTTCTAGTCAGAGGCTTCCTTCAAAAGCACCAAATCTTTTTTTGTTGCTTATTAACCTACTTTAAATTCATGCAGCCACTGTGAGGAAACTCACAGGGCAGCTCTCTGGGGAGGCAAGGTGTTGGGATCAAGGGTCCCTGCTATCCTTCCCAGCCACTTGGCTGGTCAAGTGGCCTTTGAGGGAACACAGACTTTGCCAAGGGCAGGGCCAGACCCAGGCTGCCAGGGCTGCTCAGGAATGTGCAGCTGACCTTGTGGATGCACAGCACTTGCTTACGGTGGCTACTTGGGTGGGAAGCAAAGTAAGGTGGGGAGACACGGAACTGAACACAGCTTGGATGACTGGGGCTATCTGGTATGTTCTTGGGAGTTACCACTTTACTTGGGTTCATATTTTTTCATAATAAAAAAATTAAATGGAGAACAATCACACATAGGCCAAGTCCCTGAGAACTGTACCACTTCCCAACTTTATCAATGCGTTCACATTTGTCATTATATCTTCCCTTGCTGGAACCTTCCGGAAGCAAGGCCCATGCTCTTGTGTTTGAGGCATCCCTCACCTTGGGCATCAGACTCCTGAGGGAGAGAGGGCAGGGTGGAAAGGGTGTACATAGGGCAGTGGCTGGGTGGGAGAGGGCCCCAAAGTGGGAGGCAGACTTCTCCCAGCCCAGCCGTGTCCCTCCTCACCTACAGCCCCCCTTCACTTCCCACGTCCACCACACCCTCCAGGGCACACCGAGATCCTGCCCCTTCTTCACTAGGCACCTGCCTCTGTGGGTCCAAAGGCAACTTCCTTGCCCAGCACAGGAGGCTGGTAGGGGCTGATCTGTCCCCTGGAAAGACAGGTTGAAGTCCTCACCCCTGCTACCTGTGAACTGGACTTTAGGTGGAGACAGAGCCTTTGCAGATGAGGTCAAGATGGGCCACTAGAGAAGGACGCCACCCATGTGGCTGAGTCTCTGTTCCCTGCCCAGAAGGACCCACTAGCAGATCCACAGACACTGCCTCGTGGAAAACCCCAAACCTCAGAGTAAGGTGAGCTCCTGTGTGTTCCTCGAGAGGGACAAGCCCTGGAAAGGCTAACAGAAAGGGCTTCCTTGACCACATCACTCTCCGCTTCCTGAGGGGCGCACCATCCCCGACAGGAGAGCCCAGGGCCCACAGCTCCCTCCCGGGCAAAGAGAAGCAGACACCCAGCTTCCCAGGCACTCTGAGTTAGGGACGGGGAAACTGAGCACCAGGTCTCCTGGGGCCAGATAAAAACAAAGATGGGGTCGTTAGAGCATGTCTTAAGTCCTAAGCTAGTATGACTATGTCCTCACAAAAAGGAAAAGACTGGACACAGCGTCAGTGCACAGACGCTGTGAGGGTAGCCAAGTGACATGGGCAGCCTGGAGGACACTTCTATAAGCTACAGCAGTGCCCAGGATGGCTGGGAGCCTCCTGTGGTCAGAAGAGGCCGGAGGATGCAGGGGGCACCCACACCTCCACCACAGGCTTCCCGTCTCCAGAACAGGGAAGACCCAAAATCTCTGTTGTTTGAAGCAACCAAAGTACCAAAGGTTGTACTCTTTGTGACAGCAGTGCTAGGAAGCTAGTCCACAGGCCTCTGCCACTGAGTCCCTACCTTCCTCTCCAGTGTCCCCACTCAATCCTGGCCAAGCTGAATTTCCCAGACGCCCAGGCCTACCCACGCCTGCTCTCCACCTGGGCTGTACCTCACTTGTCCCTGCCCACACTCCTCCCGAGGGTTTTGTTAGAGAGATCTGGTGACTGTGCTCACCAGGCAGGCCTTATGGTGACATTGTGCACACTCAGAAGTCTTCTGACCCCACTGTAAACAGATGCACACATCTGTCCCCCCACCAAGACAGAAGTCTCTGCGAACAAGGATCTTGTCTTATGCAACTTGGTGTCCCCAGTACCCAGAAGAGGGCTTGCCACGTGGGAGGTGGTGGCTGTAAGAATGACATTGATAGCAACAATACTATTCTAACAAGAAGCATAGCCTCATTTAAGCCACATGATCAGATACATATTAAAGTAAGTCACAGTCCCGTTTTCCATGACTTTCCTGCCGTTTCATTCACTCACATGAACTGACTGCAATATGCGCAGGCGGCTTGCCCGCCACGAGAGGAAGGCAGACACAGTCCCCGCTCAGAGCTCAGCAGTGCTGGAGGATGGTGGGGTGAGGATTCACAGAGATTCCAGAGGAGCCAGGAGTCAACCTGTGGCTTATGGTCAGAAACTGCTCTGACCCTCAGCTAGTGTGTCCAAGACAAATCACTATGCATCTCTGTGTCCATTTCTCCATTTGAATTAAGGAAGAAAGAAACTTGT